GAAGGTGTGGGGAGGAAGGGGGAACCGATCACAATGATGTACATATAACCTCCTCCCTGGGGGACAGATAACAGAAAAGTGGATAAAGGGAGACATTTGTCAGGGTAAGACATGAAAAAATAATAATTTATAAATTATCAAGGGTTCATGAGGAAGGGGGGGAGGGAGGGAGGGGGAAAATGAGGTGATACCAAGGGCTCAAGTAGAAAGAAAGTCTTTTGAAAATGATGGCAACAAATGTGTTTAAAACAATGGATGTATGTATGTACTGTAATAAGAGCTGTATGAGCCTCTAATAAAATGATTTTAAAAAAGGAAAGCTGCCTTACCTATGGATTAACTGAGAGCTGACTGGAGTCTAAGAGCTTTTATGTGTTCCTGCACAGAAGGCAGGCATCTTACAGAGTCAAGGAAACTCGATAGAAGAAGCGCCTCTGTTGGTGGGGTTTAAACACCGATTTACGTGGATCCCAAGCTTATTCACTTTTCACCATACGATTTCTAATCAGGCCTACTACTGGAGAGTCTCCTTGGTTTGTTTACATGCTGGGCTGCTAACTGCAAGGTCAGCACTCTGAGAGAGACGAGGCTGTCTATTCCCGTAGAGATTTATCATCTTAGAGACTCTGGAGAGCATTAGACTCTGCTCTGTGGGGTCTCTGTCAGTCAGATTGACTCCATGGCAGTGAGTTTTAGGTTTATAAAAAATAGGGAAATAGTGGGTGGGGTGGGTGGCGGTATTTGGAATTTAGAAAATCATTGTTGCAGCAGGAATGCATGGATTTAAGAAGGTTCTGAGTGTAAGGGCACAACTTTTAAACATACCCCTTCCATTTCTTGCCTTGTTTTTGGAATTTTCTAGTTATCTGCTTATTTTAATTATTAACTAATGGATGTTAACTTGATATTTTAGTACTTTTCGATCTAACATTGCCACTAGAGTATAAGTGTAAAGAGGTCAGTGGTCTAGTCTTCTGCTTTGTCTCTGTATTGTAAAGCCTAGAGTGCTACTTAGCCTATCAGAAGTGCCAGTAAGCGTTTGTATAGTTTACTAAAATGTGGGCACAGGTTAAAAGATATTTATGATTTTCCCCTATATTTGATGTTACATAAAGTTAAACTAAAAGGAACCTTACTAATGCAAACTGCAAAAATATATATATATATATATATATATATTTTTTTCATTTTCTTTCAGGGTGATTGTGTTGTTACAGTATTGCTCACGGAAGAGGACAAAGTTGAAGATGATGTAGTTTTTTACTTAGTATTTTCGGGTTCTACCCTTCATCATTGCACTAGCACTCGGAAGATCAGTTCTGATACGTTAGAAACCATTGCTCCTGGTAAGTATTTGGATGGTATCGTTACTTCCCTTCCAGAAAATAAACATCTTACTATTTCAGAAAATTGTACATAGTTCATGCACACCTTTTGCCTGTGTTCATTAGTATACTGTGGTAGGTAGAGTAAATATACAGGATGGTATATTACTTTAAATACTGTACACAGATACTAGATTTTGTTTATATAGTGCTGTTCAACAAGAGTCAGAACCTCACTAGAAATATGGGAGATAAAATGATGTTTTAAATAGAAAGGTAAAAAATTAGGATTAGCCCCCCCAACTACCAGGACCCCAATTCTGCCTTGTAGACCTGGTTAGACCAGATGA